ATCATGTAAGACTTTTTGCCATATTTTCCGACTAGATCCACACACATGGCTGTCAGTAAAGGACCGCTTACACAAACACACACACACACACATCGAGAAATGCGGAAGTTTTTTTCTTTCCATTTGGCGTGTGCGACTAAATTCCATAACACTCTCACCAGTCATTACTCCTTATTTGCATCTAATACCCTAGTTTGTCATGGGTGCATAAAAGTGAAACTGCCGAACTGCAGTTCAAGAGTTCACACTTACCTGATGATTTATAAAAGCTTGTTTAGCATGCTGTCCCGGGAGAGAGCCCCGAGCTCAAGGGATCCTCGAACCCGGGGCTTCCTCCCGTTGGCAGAGCGAGAGGGGAGCCTGAGCTCGGTGGATCTCAGAACTCCCCGACTGCGGTAGCTAAGGGAACAGAGGGGCTAGACAAATGCTTGATTGTTATACGTGTTGAATGTCTTTGGATGGTGGGAGGAAACCGGAAAACCCAGGGAAAACCCACACGGACACGGGGACAACATACAAACTCCTCACAGAAACACCTATCGGCCCTATGGGACCAGGGCCGGCAGTGTTCTTGGTGTGGGGCTCACAGTGCTAACCACTGGGCCGCCGTGCCACCCAATCAGAGGTAAAGGAGGAGAATAGGGGAGGAGGGGGGTTTCTTCCAAACGAAGATAAAATGAACTGAAAACTGTGGATATTTTTTATCATATTTTTTATCATACAAGATAGTGATTAGCAAACACGGGACCGGCCGTGATAAATCATAAGCATGTGATCCTCTCGAGATTAGTTTATGAATAAACTTCACTTAAAGTCAGGCTTCTTGCTGACTTGATTCACCAGTCAGGTATACATCCGCGCTAAAATATCAAGGTGAAAGTCATCATAGCTTGCGTAGAACAGACCCAGCTCTCAACCCAACTTTGAGAATAGATTAACGGCGATATTTCTTTTTATTGCGCGATAAGAGTCTCACGCAGATACGCAGATAACTGCTCACCACTAATATACACACGTCAGGTATAAACAGCATTGTATCTCCCTTGTGCACTTGTTATTCAATCAACCAAATTGCAATTCTCAACAGCAGGTGTAAACACTCGTACTTCTGTTCTTTTGGTTCACTTGATCTATCTACTTTAATTTTGCCATTTTTTTAAAAAACCAAACAAGCAAGCTGCTATGATGTATATTTTGAGTTGAAATTTGACAACATCCAAAATAATCATGCTAAATATGCTTGTAAAGAATTTGTGCATATGTGAGGCTATTTTACTGCCTTTACCACAGATATTACTATTGTTTTGTCTGTATATATTGTTGGACAGAGCTGGTGTCCGATGCAAATTTAAAAACCACAAAGGACCACGGTTTCAGCTGATAATCTTCCTTTATACTTCACTGAGATTTTCTATTTTTTGAATGGCCTGAGGGTGAGTAAATTAAAGACAAATGTTTATTTTGAATAAATCATTCTCATGTTTAGGGCACTGTTACTAATGCTTTGGCAAACCAAACTATTCAAATTTCGCAATCTCTGTATAATTAGCTGTTTAAATCGCTACATAAACACATTTTATTTAATGATGTTTTAATTCACATCAAAATAACAAATGAGGAAGTACACTCCCCTGCATAATGAGTTAATCATTCTCATCAGAGTGTAATACTGCAATTTATTTATATTTCACAAAAAAAAAACTTCACTTGCAATCATGAAATATAATCATCGTCTCTTTGATAGTTTTCTAGAAATCAAGCAGTGAATAGTGCTGTTAATTTTCTGTTGTAAAAAGGGATAGTTTGTAGAAAAATTTGGCAAAGGGTGAAAAATACTGTAAGAGTGTCTATGATGAAAGGCAAAATATTTAAAATACAGTTGAAAACACTTATCCAAAGTTGTTAGAAATGTACTGTATGTTAGTTTCAGTGATACTATTGTAACCTAAAATAAAACTAAAATGATTGCAAGCTGATTTTGGTAACAGAAATTGAACAAAGGCTGAAATCAATAGATGAATTAAAATAAAATAAAATAAAAATTTGTTATATATAACTTAAAAAAAAAAAAAAAAAAAGAGAAATGTTAGTAGTATGACATGACAAACTATCACAAATAAAAAATATAGAAATCTAAAACAAATTATACAAATGCCAAACACACATAATAATTACCTAAAAACTAAAATGAATATTAAAAACGTTTTGGAAAGCTAAATATCAAATACAAATATATATATATATATATATATATATATATATATATATATATATATATATATATATATATATATATATATATATATATATATATATATATATATATATAAATAAATAGAAAAACTTAAATGAAAACAAGTTATATTGAGCTGGCAAATAATAAAGGAATAACTTTGATGTATTAAAATTACCTAAACTAAAATAAAGATTAATGTAATACATAATATATATATATATATATATATATAGCAACATAAAAACACAGACTACACATTAGTTGAAAATATAAAAGTAACAGTAAAAATAATGTAAACAAAATACAAAAGGAAAAAGTAAATAATTAATAAGATTTTACAGATTGATATGATTTTCATTTTATTTTTAAGATTATTCATCTTTGTATTGATATATATATATATATTTATATATATATATAAATAAATAAATACATAAATAAATAATTAAATATATATGTATATATATATATATATATATATATATATATATATATATATATATATATATATATATATATATATATATATATACATATATATATATATACATACATTTACATTTAGCAGACGCTTTTATCCAAAGCGACTTACAAATGAGGTTAATAAAGTCTAAGAAGGAAAGTATTAGTAATTTTTAATTATTATTTTAATTTTTTTTTTGAGTACAGTTAGTGGTATATCCAGAAAGGCAATTGCAGATTAGGAAGTTAAGTGGAGATTAAATAGTTGAGTTTTTAGTCGTTTCTTGAAAGTAGCGAGTGACTCTGCCGTTCTGATGCAGTTAGGGAGTTCATTCCACCAACTGGGCAGATTGAATACGAGTGTTCGCGAAAGTGATTTCTTCCCTCTTTGGGATGGAACCACGAGGCGACGTTCATTCACAGAACGCAAGTTTCTGAAGGGCATATAGATCTGCAGAAGTGAGAGCAGATAAGAAGGAGCAAGGCCAGAAGTCGCTTTGTAGGCAAACATCAGAGCTTTGAATTTGATGCGAGCAGCAACTGGCAGCCAGTGCAAACGGATGAGCAGCGGAGTGACATGTGCTCTTTTAGGTTCATTGAAGACCACTCGTGCTGCTGCGTTCTGGAGCAGCTGAAGATATATATATATATATATATATATATATATATATATATATATATATATATATATATATATATATATGTAAAAAGAAATTATAAAAAAAACATTTATTATATTATTATATATATATAATATATAAAGTTGAAGTTGAAGTCAGAATTATTAGCCCCCTTTTGATTTTTTTTTCTTTTTTAAATATTTTCCAAATGATGTTTGACAGAGCAAGGAAACCCAGTATTGTGTTTACAGTATGTCTGATAATTTTTTTTCTTCAAGAAAAAGTCTTATTTGTTTTATTTCGGCAACAAAAGTTTTGAATTTTTTAAAAATTAAATTTTTTTTTTTTCCGATAGTGTACAGAACAAACCATCGTTATAGAATAACTTGCTTAATTACCCTAACCTGCCTAGTTTACCTTAACCTAGTTAAGCCTTTAAATGTCACTTTAAGCTGTATAGAAGTGTCTTGAAAAATATCAAGTAAAATATTATTTACTGTCATCATGGCAAAGATAAAATAAATCAGTTATTAGAAATATATTTTTAAAACTATTATGTTTAGAATTATGCTGAAAAGTCTTCCCTCCAATAAACAGAAATTGGGGAAAAAAATAAACAGGAGCGCTAATAATTCAGGGAGGCTAACAATTCTGACTTTAACTGTATATATATATATATATATATATATATATATATATATATATATATATATATATATATATAAAAATTTAAAAAAACATTTATTACTGAAGGGCCAGAGAAGAACTGTGTTATGATCACCAACGATCTAACGGCTGCGGATCGCTGGTAAACACACACCTTCACCTGCACTACAATTCTGCCACTTAACAAATAACAACAGCTGACAACTGTTGTGGATCTAAATGCAGGATTTATTAAGAGATGTCAAAGAGGTAATGACCAAAATAGGGGCGAAAAGAAGCATGCAGGGAATCCAGAGTCGTGGTCAACAAACAGGTGAATGGTTGGTATAGGTAGCAAGGAATCAAAACAAGAGAACAAGGCAAAGGGTCAAAACGCGGCTAGGCTAGACAAAGGAAATGCAACGTAATGTCACAAAAACAGTTAAACAAGACTCAGCAAAGATGTGCGTGCGCTGTATTTAAAGTCAATGTAATCAGTCCATAATGATCCTCTTGCTGTGTGTGTGTGCATGTGTAATCAAAGTGAAACAGAAATTGGTGTGTAAAAAGTGCATTATGGAATTTGTTGTTCGTTATGTGACAGAATTGTAGTCTAGGTCAGTGTTTTTCAACCACGTTTCTGGAGGACCACCACCTCTGCACATTTTCCATGTCTCCTTAACTAAACACACCTGATTCAGATCATCAGCTCATTAGCAGTGACTGAAAGACTTTTAATGGGCTTGGCAGACAAAGGAGACAAGCAAAACATGGACTGTTGGTGGTCCTCCAGGAACGTGGTTGAGAAACAAATTTTATTTTTGATAAAACTGGACTGAAGCAATTTCAATTAACTAGAACTTCATCTATGTTAAGCTGCTTTAACACAATCAACATTGCAAAATCATTGTAGAAATAAACATGAATGGAAGGTCTGAAATATTTTCTTGGCACACATACATTTCATTTTTTAAAGAAAAATCTGGATTAAAAAAGCTGCTAATTACACTCCGAGAATACAGTGTGTGAACTCTGACCTTTAGGGCTGAGACAGGGGCCCTCCAGGTAGAAGACGCCCTTCAGCAGAGCCAGCTCCTGCAGGATGATGCCAAAGCTGTAGACGTCACCCTTCTGTGTTCCACACGCTGGTGGATTATCAGCACGCAGAAGCTCAGGGGCCGTCCACAGCTGACCTACAAACACAAACTTCAAAATTAGAAAAGAATTTATCATTCTTTTTTCTTAAATAACATAATCATTTAACATTTTATGGAGTTTTAGTCATGTCTATACCATGCTGGAGTAAATAAATAACCAAGGTAATCAAACAAAACCTTTATTTAGTTAAAAAATGATTATCATAGCAAAATCACTTGTTGCTTACAGACATCAGGACATCACTAGTCTATCACAAGACATCACCAGTCTCTTACAGACATCAGTAGCCTCTCACAGGACATCAATCCCCTAAAGACATCAGTGTCTCTCACAGCACTTTACTAGTCTCTAACAAACACCATCAGTAGCAAGGCTACTTAAGGGCCAGGGTGGCACTAGCCCACTCAGGGTTGACCCACCCAGACAAAACATTTTAAAACTGAAAAATCCTGCATGGAAAAGTAAGGCGAATATGTAATTTGATAACAGCACCCTTTATTCTTTGTAGGTTTTTCAATCAAATGTACAGTCCCCCTCCATTCCACAAAAATGGAACTGTCCAAATGTTGCTCCGCCCTTTGCACAGATGATTGAGTGCTTTTGGATTTGACTGAGACAACAGCACTGAAAACAATTCTAGAAGTGCAGTAATAAATTAAGTAAAGTGAGCATTATGAGAATATGATTATTGGCCTGTTTCCACTGAGTGGTATGGTATGGTATGGTTCGGTATGCTTTTATGGCCGTCACCAATGTCAAAAAATACCTTGACAGTGAACTGTACAGTACCACTTTTTGGCTACCCTTTGCAAAGGGTACCTAGCAGAACTAAAGGGTACCAAAAGGCGTAGCTAGACGTGCAGCTGAACACTATTGGTTTACAGAGAATCATCACTCGCTCGTGGAGCTAGCCATTGCATATAATAACGAGCCATGGTCGACCCGAGCCCAAACAAACCTTGTCCTTGTCTTGATGAACAAAAAGCCAATAAAAACTGTTTTTGTGGTTATCATGACAAAATGGCAGATGTATAATGTTCTAAATTCAAATTCAAATGGATTACCTACTGAGTAGTAGGCGATTTCGGAGGCAACCCACTAGTCCAGGGGTGGCCAACCCTGTTACCGGAGAGCCACCTTCCTGCAGATTTCAGTTGCAAACCATTTAAACACACCTGCCTGTAATTATCACATGGTGTTCAGGTCCTAATTAATTGGTTTAGGTGTGTTTGATATGGGTAGCAACTAAAATCAGTAGGAAGGTGGCTCTCCAGGAACAGGGTTGGCCACCCCTGCACTAGTCTCTCACAGGACATTACCAGCCTTTCTAAAGCTGCGGTCACACTGGGCTTTTCCTCCCATAGACTTCCATTCATACGTACGAGAATGCGTCAGACCGGAAACGCAGGGTCATGGGTTAAGTTTCACAGGGTGCTGCGGTGCAAAGTTCAAGCTTGGTGAACTCTGACCTGCAAAATCGCATCACTTGACTGCATGAGCCGAACCGAGGATCAAAACATGACCTCTCTGGACAGAAATTAAAAACATGGAGCAATCGCTCACTTTTTTAATGCCCAATAATCTTGTTTAATCCCGCCCCTTTCGCAGAACTGTACGACAGAATTTCGCAAACTCAAACTCTGGTGTGACCGCAGCTTTAGACATCAATAGTCTTTCACAGACATCACTAATCTTTCTCAGTCATCACTGGTCTCTAACAGACTTCACTGTACAGACAGCAATGTTATTTAAAATGCTATTAGAACATTCAATTTACAATTTTCTATAAACATTACAAGAATGTTCCAAAAACATTATTTTAATAACATTATGTGCAAATACTTACACAACTTGATGGTTATGGAATGTTACCTGGGCAGTTAAATAAAACTTCCAAACAGAACTATGGAATTGACCTCAAAATTGAGCAAACTGTAGGTCAGGGGTGCTCAACCCTGTTCCTGGAGATCTGCCTTCCTGCAGATTTTAGTTGCAACTCATATCAAACACACCTGCTTGTAATTATCAAGTGCTGTTCAGGTCCTAATTAACTGCTTCAGGTGTGTTTGATCAGGGTTAGAGCTGAACTCTGTAGGAAGGTAGTTCTCCAGTAACAGGGTTGAGCTGTAGGTTGTTCTCTATACTTGTATCCAGTACTCACGTGCATAGAAAGCATGCACGTCATCCAAATTGCTGTCCTTGTGGAAACTTTCCAGCCCATAATCGGTTATCTTCAGCACGAAGCGACTGTCCACCACGCAGTTGGAAGACTTCAAGTTGCCATGGGAGACGATGACGCTGTTGTGGAGGAACGCCATTCCCTGAGTGATGAAAAGATGACACTCTCACAAAGACATCCGACAGCATCCAGTGTATTTACTAAAACCACGCCACAAAAATATGAATTACTGACTTTGCACTATGCTTTCAGGGGTTATAATTTGCTTGTCAAGGAATTGACATCCTTTTAAATTACATGTTTAAAAACCACCCATATATGATGTCACGTGGAGAACTGTATTTTTCAAAATGTAAATCAACTTGTTGCAGATTCAGTTACATTACAGTAATAAAATCAAATAAAATCAATGTAGACATTTTTATAAATATTAATCAAAATGTAAAAATATTGAAAAAATCTAGTATTTATTATAAATCCTTTATTTGTGACATAATTATTACTTTTTTATCCACGCATGTTCATATTTTTCATAAAAAAAGCTTAGCATTGAAACTGTTGACTTGCATCCTGAATATGGGTCTCTCAGCTGGTCAGGACCAAGTGGTACTGTGTTTGGGCGGCAGATTATTATTATTTTTTCTCCTCTTTCCCCTTCTGTTTTTCCTTTTTCTTCTGTCTCCTTTCTCTTGCCTCATCTATCCTTATTCCCAGGTGCGGCGGCTGCTGTGACAGTGGGCTGAGGTTGTTTGTTGGGGGTGCAGAATAGAGTTTGGGGTTTGGACATGGCTCTGGCAAGGTTGGTGGAGCGAGTGTTAATGAGAGACACCTGTGAGACCCACCTGTCTCGAATCCCACAGAGAAGCTCCAGAAGGATATAAGGTAGAGTGACGACAGTGAAGGACGAGAGAGAACTAGTCCTGGAACATTTACTATGCTGCATTTGGTTCATGAGGAGCTGCTGCTTACTTTCATTTTGTTGTTAAATTTATCTTGTGATTAAATTTAGATTCAGCATTTGTCTGCAGTGTTGTGGAAAAGGTTCTTTTAATGCATTTTGAGTAACTTCTTGAAAAAGTAAATAAATGTGTTGCTTAGTTATATTTTAAAGGGGACTTTTGATAAAAATGTTTGTAAGCTGTATAGACAAAACTGTGTGTAGGTATAGTTACATTAGGATAAAATAAACACAATAAGTCTATTTTTATATTTCCTAACGTTAAAAATAGGACCCAAATCACTCCCATTTTGAGGCCCATCACAACGTGATGTAGGAGTGCAGTTTTCCTGCCCAATGATTTGACTGACAGCTACATAATAACATGTCTCCTTATTAACGCGTATAATCATGTATCCAACAAGACAGTAACACAAAGTGTTACTTTTTTATTTTTTTTATCTGGGTTATTATATTATTATTTTACATCAAAAGTGAAATGCAAATTGAAAAACTTTAGGCTGTTTCAGGAAATAATATTTTGAGTTTGTATTTTACTATTTTTTATAAATTTTAAGGGATACTAAGGCCCAATTTCAATTTAATTTTTGTACCCCTACCCCTTCGCCCTTGAAACCAAGTGTAAAGGGGAAGGGCTTCAAAATTTAACCCTAAGAAATGGCACACCACTATAGCACTTGCACACATCATCATATGTTTCACAATCTCTTAATGCTTCATATGAGATTAATGATGGCGACTGCTGTAGTTATTCCAGTTGCGTTTTTTTGTTTTTTGTGTTTATCTTCAGGAAATCACAGAAGGCAACGGTATCATGTTATCATACCGATATAATGTGGTAATAAGATCATAACTGTACAGTGCATTTACACTGTGGCCATATTCATCTATGTAAACACACTAAAAAACAACATTAACATTATACCAGACACTACAAAAAGCTCATTCTCAGCAACTAGACTATTCTGACAGGGTATTCCAGTGTCATTGAGTGTCAATATGTTGCGGAACTGCTATACAGAAGTTATTATTAGTGATTATAGATAGCAAAATTTTGTGTTATTTATTTTAGCATTTTTTTAAAAGCTTGACGGTAAAATACAAACGCCGTAATGAATACATTAAAACAAATGCTTGTTTGTTGTAAAAAAAAAAATCATAATAATGACAAATAATACTAATTTGTGCGTCTTATGACTTCCGTGTGCAGCTATGCTGCTGCTGTAGATGGTGCATTCTGGGAAACTTTCAAACTCCTTGATTTTACATGTGGCCTTGAAAAATCTCTGTTTTGAGGGGTATCTAGCCCTTCCCCTTAGCCATAGCCTTAAATATAAAGAGAATTGGGACACCGTTACCCCTTCAGTTAAACACGCAAAACAAGGGGTGGGGGTAAGGGGAAGGGCTAAGCGGTAGAATTGGGATTAGGCCTAAAAGTTTTATTGTGGAAGCGAGGAGGGTGTTCACAATTTACACAACATATCTGTAGATATTCTTGATTTCTCTCAACACAGCAAAAAAAAAGGAAAAGCTTTCAGTCAATAAATGGGAAAAGTAACTTTTTGAAAAAGTAACAAACATTTTGTTTAAAATGAGACAAAAAGTAATGCTTTACATTATTATTTATGTGAGATAAGTAATTTGATTATGTAACTCAAGTTACTTTAATGAACAGGTGTTAAATCCAATTTCTGGAGGGCCGCAGCTCTGCATAGTGTAGCTTTAATTCTAATTAAACACACCTTATCAAGCAATTGAGTCCTTCAGGCTTGTTTAAGATCTACAGGTAAATGTGTTTAAATAGGGTTGGATCTTAACTGTGCAGAGTTGCGGCCCCCCAGGAACTGGATTTAATACATTTGCATTAATGCAGTACACCTCAAAAACTGTTTGTTAGCTTGAAGATAATGACACTATCCATATGCCAAGGATATAACAAACAAATTTATTTACAGTCTTAATTTGTTACAAATTCCAAGCATTTAAAGCCAAAAATGTATTTCTACTGCATGAGGAACAAAATCAAATGCAATCACAGTTTCTGTAAGAGGTAATGAGCAAAACAAAAACACATTTAAATGATGGATTATTTCAGTTTTGATTTTGAGATGCTGTTAGCTCTTGCATAACTTGTGACCGATTGCATCAAGCTAATGTTTGTTTTCTTCTTTTAAATAAGAAATCATTGTGTAATGGAGCTTTCAGAGGACATGCAAGACAAAATGAGTTTTTTGTAAGACTTTCAATAATACCGTTTTCTTGTCAGTTTTTCAAATAAAAGCCTGTGACTGTACATTTGTGGAAGTGTTTACATTTACGATTTAGCGCTTTAGGTGCACAGGAATACCAGTAAAGTGTAATATAAATGCTATAAATAAATGATGCCAATTAAGCATCAACTTGTCAGTTAGTGAGAGTGTTGTTTATACATCACAATAAAGAAGAAAAAAGATTTTCCTTCTTAAATTTTGTTTCATGCTCGAAAAAGAGCATGTGTGACAGATGTTAAGTGCTCACCTTAACAATGTCATTGATGAGAGAATAGCGAAACATCCAGTCCAGCGTGATTCCTTCACTCTCCATCAGATCCTATATTTCACAAACATATCATTTGGATTATGAGGAAAGTCTGTGTGCTGCTGTGTGTAATGTTGCTTGTGCAGCAATAAAATAATTTTAATATATCATTTGACAATGCATCCAAATGATTACAAAAACATTATTTCACATTTTTTACTATATATTTTTTTATTAGATAAACACAGCATTGTTGAGCCTAACTTGTGTTGATACATTAAAAAATATGTTTTTTAATAATGTTGGGTGAATACGAAATTTTTACTTCTTCCCTGACTACAGGTATGTCTTCAGAAAGCATCCTCAATGTTCAGTCTATGCTAACGTAACAAAAAGTTTCATTAACCTGAACCACATGAGCTGGTCTCTGTTTCTCAAACTCATAACTCTGCACTCCATAAAACATTTATTGCATATAAACATATATTTATATTCACCAAACACTTTATAAGATACACCTGTTCAACTGCTCGTTAAACAAATGTTTATTTAAACAATGGCAGCAACTTGGCATTCAAACGTAAAAAGGTCATCTGTTGAACTTTAAACCAAGCATCAAAATGAGAAAAGAAGGAGATTTAAGTGTCAGAAGGCTGATTGAGTATTTTAGAAATGGCTGATATACTGGGATTTTAAAACTATCTCTAGAGTTTATAGAGGAAAAACCCAAGGAACTTATATTCTGTAAGAAAATTGCATTGTTGATGCCAGAGGTCAGAGGAGAATGGGCAGACTGTTTGAACTAACAGAAAGGCAGTTCAAACTGTAAACTCAACTCATTTTAACCACTTGTTAAAATTGAGGGCTGCTGAAGAGCATCATTGAATTCACAAACTGTCAAACTTTGTGGTAAATAAGCTACTGCAGAAAAAGAGCTAATGTTTCCATCCACCTACTTTTATGCTCATTTTGGATTATCACATTAACAAATGCTTAATGGAAACAAAAAAAATATGCGCATACATTTTAAATATCTGCCTAAAAACTAAGCGCACAAATGAGAAGAATAAACATTTTACACAATAAGAAAAAAATTGCATAAACTTTGATGGAAACACTTTTGCAGCATTAATTCCAATATGCACACTAAAAAAGCCCTGTGATTGTGATGAGATCATGTGATGATAAAAATGGGTGCGATGGCAAGCATTACATAATAAACCAGTCGATCGACCACATTGTAAAATATATGAAATGTTGTTTTGGGCTTTCTATGCCTTAACCCAGGGTTTTTTAAAGTCTAAGACAGTGGGCCTCCCTTTTGACACAACTTATCCATTGGCGCCCCCCTCCTCCCAAATACGCACGCACGCACGCACGCACGCACGCACGCACGCACGCACGCACGCACGCACGCACGCACGCACGCACGCACACACACACACACACACACACACACACACACACACACACATATATATATATATATATTAGGGATGTAACGATATTGTAAATACCGTCATACCGCAATATAAATTTTTTTCGATATTACCGAAGTCGCATGACTCTGTAAAACTATAGGTCGTCTGAGAAAATTTGCTCAGGCGAATGAAGCGAACGGGAGGTAGCGAAAACTACAATTCCCATCAGCCCATGCTTGACCATCATCCCTTGCGGTCTGTTGTCGCTACAGATCCAGTAATGCGGAAATGGAGTGTGCTGCTAGAAGCGGGGATGAAAAAGTGCTGGAAAACTCTAAAGCGGGTGTTGTCGCCGCGCGCGTACTGAATAGCGGTGCTGTCGCGCGAGTTCTTATCAGCTGTGTTGTCGCGCGCGTACTGAATAGCGGTGTTGTCGCGCGAGTTCTTATCAGCTGTGATGTCGCGCACGTACTGAATAGCGGTGTTGTCAGCACACTGTTCAGATTGATGCAGACATGAGACCTCTATCTTACTCATGGTTTGTCCTCTCAAGTGGGGGAAAGACAATGCACAACGTTACCCACTGCGGTCAACCTGGGCCAAGTCATATCTCTCTTGTCCCAGAAACCTCAGTCCTAAATGAGAGGTTTTTTTCTGTTGCAGGGGACATTGTAAATGCCCAGAGATACCAGCTTTTACCAGATTATATTTATATGATAAATTTCCTTTAAACCCATCTCTATCTAAGTGAGTGAGTGATTAAATGTTGAATGTGATGAGTTTTCAACAATACTAAATTGAAACTTTATTTTTTTTACATGGTTTAATATTTTTTTGTTATTAAAATTCAAGTTCCTGTTTCAAAGCTTACAGATAGATGGCTAATTTGTATGTCATTGACACTTTTGGCACTTTTTTGGAGTATTTTCATAAGTTTTGTTTTTTCCTGTAAATGATTCAATAAATACCGTACCGTGACATTCATTCCGAGGTATTACCGTACCGTGAAATTCTGATACCGTTACATCCCTAATATATATATATATATATATATATATATATATATATATATATATATATATATATATATATATATATATATATACAGTATATATAAAGACACAGACAGATGCCAGACTGTTAACTCACTTTTATCATCATTTGCATGAAAGTGCAATTATTTACAGAGTAATAACAAGTATTTTAATATAACGTTTTTAAAACTAGGATGATGGTTCAATATGAATAGAACAGTTCCAAGAACTGTCCATCCCAGTCAAAACAGTGGAAGTTTAGCGGGTCTCATGCTGTCATTAGCCAAAATATATTTTGACAAACCACACATAAAGGTCGTGGTTGATCAGCTGGTCCTGTCCACGTAAATCATAAACTCAAATACTGATCATCATATCGTTGTCTTTTGGGTTTAAGCCCTGAACTTGAAGGCTTTTGTGGCGAGGGGGCGTGGCCGAGCGCGTAAGTGGATACACCTGCGGTGCGCACCTGCCTCAGATCCCACGGAAGGAGCTCTGGATCATAAAAGGAGGAACAAGGGCAGAGGAAGCCGAGAGAGGACCGGACCCGGACATATTTTACTTTTGCTTTCAGTTTGACGGCAGTCTCCGTGAGGATCTGCCGTCCGTTTGTTTTGGTTTAGACGGAGCTGCCATCACTGTCATTAATAAATCACTTTAAAACTGCTTCGGTTCTCCGCCTCCTTCCCGGCGGCCAAAGGGCCGTGAACTTCATTACAGCTTTGAATCGGGGTGGGTCTCAAAAACCAACCCATTGTATTAGCAGGCATATAATAAACGTTTAAATATAATAAAAAATACATATAATAATTAAACTTAACAATTATATTTTTATTATATTATATTTTTTCCCGCGCCTCCCCTGACATGCTCTGGCGCCCACCAGGGGAGGCGCGCCTCACACTTTGAAAACCCCTGTTGTAAGGTATGCATTATATGCAATTTACATTTGAGTTTAATGGGCTATATGCACACAGACATTTATTTTCAGCCAGCCAGCCTCATCGCTCCCGGTGAACTTTATTACCAATATAAAATCACCACGTTTAAGGTCTGAAGTCTTTAAAAATCGGTGATCTTCACTGCCTGATAGATATACATTAACAATATGAAGAAGAACTGCATTAAATTCCATTTCCCCCACCATGTTTTAAAATATGACAGTTTATTTTACCCGAGTATTTTTAGTCGAGTTTCTGTGCTCGCCTGCTGATCCTGATGTCGCTAGTGGTTATACAGTCTTTCATCTCATTTTACGCTTGAACAACTAAATGAATGCTTAAGTCTATTTAACTGAATGTATTATAATTACATTACAACATAGATGCTGTAAAAGAAATCCTATGAAATTGAAAAGAGTCACATTAAGCTTTCACCGGAAGTCATTTCATTGGTTAAAAAACACTAATTGTGCATATACCCCATTGTGTATTTATTGTTGTGTTTTTTTATGGGGTAGGGGGGTGTTAAGTATTTAAGGTAACATAAATGGTTAAAAATTTTTTTTATTTTTGTTCAATTGACAAAAAAAACAACGTACAGCTTTTTTTTTTTTTTACAGTTGAGTGCTGTGATCCATCATTATTGTATTTGAGCAAATAAACACAATTCAAATTAGTCAGTTCAATCTCTTTCAGTATCTCTTTCTATTCTTTGGTTAAAACAACTCTATACATAATCAAATTCCATAACCAAACATGGCAATATCCAGCTCCCCAGGCGTTTTTATACACAGTTCCTGCTTTTCAATCTAAATAAATTTTTCAAAAAGGGGTTGCTGTGATCCTCTTATTCAAGGCCGAGTGAAAAAGGGCAAAAAAAACTATGCAAAGTTGTCTGGCATCAAACCAGACTGGAGGAACGATCGTCTTTTGTGTGCTCTAACCAAAGTCAGTCATTAGAGTGGTTTAGTATTATTACCTCAAGAACTTGAGTCTTGAGCGTTTGAGCTGCCAAATGAGTGTCACATGTTCATTGCGTGTTGGCATTGTCCTCTGTATAAAGTCATTTGTTACTATATATAAAAAAGACTTGTGTAGCTTTTACCACCACAACAAATTCCGTTTTTCTTTTTGATGTTTGGTGCCAGTTTATTAGAAAGTGACCTTTTTTTTTCTTTGACTCCTTTATGCGATTTTTCATTATACAAAATCTATTTTTCCATGTTTGGATGTAAATTTTATGGGTTATTTTCAGTTGCTCTGTTTTCCCCTACAGTCCAAAGACATAAACTATAAATGAATTGGTGTAAACAAAATTGGGTCTAGTTTATGTGTGAATGAGAGATTGTATGGGTGTTTCCCAGTACTGGGTTGTGTGGAAATTTTAATTTATATAATCAAGTTCCAAATTAACAACAATCTATATATATCTGAAAAGATATATTCTTTGGTTTTTAATTATATATTTTCATTCAAAACTGTAACAGCACAGCTATGACGGACATTAAACCTTTTGTTTCCTGAGTACTGGCTGAGCCAAAGTGAAGCAAATGCTATGGGCAGAGTCTTAACAACAAGTCTTCGGGTGATACTTCCCAATACTTAATTTGATCACTGCATGCTACAATTATGTCGATGAGATTAGGGCTGGGAAAATGCTGTTAACCTTGCTGACCACAGGACTTCATTTACATGCTTTGGTTAGCCATCTTCACCTAGCCACTCCCTTCCTCCTAAAACACTTTATAGACAAGACTCAGTTTAAACTTTTTTACAGACTTGTGATCAGTGCTTAATTTGTACCTTTGAAATCTGATCCGGCACCTCATTTTACAGATCCCCCATCTCAACCGCCCTCCTCCCTCATTCGCTGTTGGCTTTCACTTTTGTCCATGACTCCCCAACCCTCCTCACTTTCGTCCGCGACACCCCCGCCTCGCTCACTTTTGTCCACGACACCCCTCCGCCATCCACCGAACCGACCACCCCCAGCTCTCCATTTTCATGCGCGACACCTATTCAGCCTCAGGTAACATGCTGGATCTGTTACCCCGATCTATTTCGGGTCCTCAAAATTCACAAATTAAGCACTGCTTATGATCATACTTGCAGATTGCAGACCTGTAAGACTTCTTTAGCCTCTTGCAGACTAGTGGACTACTTAAAGAGGCTGTTTGACAGCGGATTAACCAACACTTCTCAATAAAGAAAGTCTTCTGCTTGTTTAGAGTCTCATGGACTGGGTTTTCTCTTATTTATTTATTTATTTATTCATAATTTACTTATTTATTAATATTTATACGATATTTTTATTATTTAACAGTTACAACTGGAGGGCAATCCGCTGTGTAAATCATATGCTGGATAAGTTGGTGGTTTATTCTGCTGTGGCGAGTCTTGATAAATAAGGGACTAAGTTGAAGGAAAATGAATAAATGAATTTATGATTCACTGACCAATAAAAACTATAATTCATTAAATCCCATACACAAATTGTTTCACTTAAGTAATTCATAAATTAATAAAATCAAATATACAATAAAAACTGCAAGAAAAACTGCACCTTAGTGTGCATCGTATTTGTTCTCTCTCTCTTTCTCTTTCTCATAATAAAGACAAACTGATTTGTTAGACAAAAGTGAAAATTTTAAACGGTTTTAAATAATGTTTTACTCGTATCTGTAGATAAAAAAAATAGTAGCTTTTTTGAAACCTTTTATTGCGTCTCTATGTTTCAGTTTCACTTTGATTCGCTTAATGAAGTTGTTTGATCACAATGATCCAGGACAGCGCATGCATCTGATGGGCATTTCAGAAAGTGCATGTGCAGAAAAATGCTTGAAGAATGGGGCGTTTATAATTTTAAGAGCGGCCTACACAGTTTGCTTAAATAATTTTATGTATAGGCATAATACTGCTGTTTGCACTTCTGGCTATATTCTAACTACTTTTTTACTTGTACTCTGCACAACGACAATAAAGCTGAATGTAATCTTCGTTAATATATGTACTGTAAATGCAGTAACTGAGCATTACGGCGTATAAAGCAGTAGTGTGCTCAAATGTTCACCTGTAAGCTTCCTCGAGGGCAGTACTCAGTGAGGATGCAGATGTTTGGTGGGTCGATACAAGCACCGATAAAGCGGGTAAGGTGCTCATTCTGGACATCACGCATCTATAACAGGAAGAAAAAAAAGAGCAGAAGGGAAAGAGAAGAGAGAACAGTATTAGGCGGAGAGGACAAACAGAGAGAGGAGCATGTTTAGCCTCTCTTTTCCATCAGACTCCATCTATTAATATCTCCCAGAACATCATATAAACTTAATTACGATGAAGGCACCTGGCATAAAGCAGTGAACGGAATGGACGCACACTTACATGTTTGAGTTCAAACAGCACTTTCCTGGTGAGCTCGATGCGTTTCTTGTTGACATACTTAATGGCTGTTATGTTTCCCTGGAAAAGAGGCATCAACGCACATTAGTTTCTCCCTGATTGCTGTTGTGGGCTCGGCAAAGCGCCAGAGCACTTTAGAGATGGGTAGAAAAAATATTCATTATTTAAAAGGATAAAAAGTAACATAATGTGTTAATTAAGCATCATCCTAATGAATGGGTAAAATAATGACGTGGACATGAATGGTGCTCGTCCTTAGGGGTTCTTCTTAATTGGAGAGGCGCTGGATCATCTGATGAAGAACTGGCCATTAGCCAGGGCGGCATGATGGTATTATTGGAGATCTAAATATGAGCCATGTTTCCAGGCAGGATGTGCAATTTACTTTAGTCTAAAATACATGCACATAGACTTATTACAGCATATACTGTAGAGTGAACAGGTACAGCAATTAGTACAGTTGGAAGTGGGTGGGGTTTAGAGAATCAGAACTGTGTACAGTATAATTGGTCATAATAAACAGATCCAAATAATAAACCTCTTATGCTGAGTTCAGACTGTGTGATTTTCAAAGTAGTCGTGTCACAGATGATTTTCCACTGCATGACTATTAGGGGTTGCGTTTCATGGTTGCTTTGTTTACACTGGAAGATGGATAGGCGGCATGCGGTTTCACACTACATGATTTACAACTGGAAGAATCGCCAACAACTTTGTCTCCATCCACAAACTACATTTCACAATCAAACACACGTGAGAAGTGACATGGAGTCACATCGTGTATCCTTTGATATTAATTATAATGAGAAAGAAGCCTAGTTTGTCCCCCATTTTTCGGATCCAAATAGACTGAAAAAAAGCACTTTTAACTTTAACCTCCCTCTGGCTTGGAAATACTTATACTAGTGGATGCTGCTCTCTCATAGGCTGCAGGTAATTGGCGATGTTCTTTTCAATCAGAACACATTTCACACAGCATGATTTGAATCAAAGACAAGTCCAGATTAGAGTTGCTCAAAATAATCGATTAACTGTTAACTGAAAGGGTGCATTTTTAACAGATTAATGATTTGCTAAATGATAAAAAATATTATTTTACATATTTTTAAAGTTTGGCAGCATCAGAGGCCCATCACAGTGAACGAGCTATTTGCGTTGAGAGCTATTTGCGCTTTTGTTTTAATACTTTATTTATAAGAATTTTTTTATACATTTGCACAAAACAAAAAACAAAAAAACAAAAAAGTCAAACAGTCAACAACAACAAAACAAAATATATAAACAAATATCCCCAACACTACTTTCCCTTTTGTGGCTTTAACAGAAGATATACATAGCCAACAGTCTGCAAACATAAAGTCCTCAAGATATACGATACACATAAAAAGTGAACAGTTCAGTGTGTGATAAAAGGAAGGTTCTGTATACCTTTATTACAAGCACTGCCATTGTGAAAGGCATTACAAGGTTACAGTGACATGAAAGAGGAATAAGAAAATATAAATAATTAAATTTAAAAAAAAAAGGGGGGGGGGGGGTCTTTTGGGATTATGAGAGAGTTTATATATCCTCCTGCTCTAAAAATTGTAAATGGTCAACGTATGTAAGAAAGGGAGACCAGGTTTTTAAAAAAGTATTTTTTGAACCTCTTAAAGTAAATTAGATTTTTTCAAGCTGAATAAAATACATAACTTCTTTAATCCATCTACTATGTGTTGGGGCCTCAGTTTTTTTTCCAATACAGAAGAATTAAACGCCTTGCCAGTAGCGTGGTAAAAGCAATTACTCTACATATTTCTTTTTTAAGCACAATATTTTCTGGACTGGTTCCAAAAATTGCCAACAGGGGTTCAGGTTCAATAGGAAAACCATACATATCACTAAATGATTGAAAAATATCTTTCCAAAACCTCCCTAGATTTGGGCAGAACCAAAACATGTGGGCAGTTGTGGCTGGTGAAACTGAGCATCTACTGCATGCTGGACTAACAGTAGGATAGATCTTAGACAATTTTAAATTTGTAAAATGTAACCTGTGAAGTATTTTAACTTGAATAAGGGCATGTCTGGTACAGTGTGATGATGAATGTACTTTATTTAAAATACCATCCCATTCTAAGTCTGTGAAGTCTCTGCTCAAGTCGAGCTGCCAGGAGGTTTTAATATGTTCTAGACTTTGAGGATCAATTGTACAAATTAAAGAGTATATATGAGAAATTAGTCCTTTACTTTCGGGTTTTAAGTCTAATAATGCATCAATTACTGAGGCAGCAGGTAATTCAAGAAAAGATTTAAATTTTGACTTAACAAAGCTTCGTATTTGCAGAAATCTAAAAAAAAATTGTTTTTGGGCAGAGAAAAATTATGAGCAAGCTCTTCAAAGGAGCAAAAAATATTATTAATAAATAAATCTTTCAGGCATTTAATCCCCTTCTCCTCCCACAACTGGAATGCAGAGTCTGTACAAGATGGGGCAAATAAGCAGTTAGAGGCAATGGGACCTGCAATTGAGAGAGCCTGAAAGCCAAAATGCTTTCTTAACTGTGACCAAATTTTTAATGTATGTACAACTATTGGATTAAAAGAAGTCATATAATTCTTGAGAGGCACATCTCTTGAATGGTTTACTAACGGCCAAGAATGAATTGCTCGCTGCTTATGCGTCCTGCGTGCCTTGTGTTTTTGCCATTGTGCGCTGTGTGCTCGCAGTTGAAATAAAAGTCAATCCTGAACAGTTAACAACAAAATTGTTATATGCTATAGTAGCCTATACTTTACAAAAAGTCAACATATGAGCCTCGTCATTGTCTTTCATCACAAGCAGCAATGCACATGAACCGCAAGTAAAGAGGAAATAAAAGCAATCAGATGCTCAAGACATAACCTTTAATCTTTAATGAATTAAAAATGTTGACAGAGGCTTGATATATTGAATTAAAGCAGATCATTAATTAAATGCATAGGCCAATTTTCCATGAAGTGATCGGAACATGATGGGGATAAAATGTTGATTATTAGTGAGTTAGTGAGTTCATTCAGTGTTTTCGTTTTGTGATCTAAATTAGTAATTTAAGTGAAAAATATCTCGGGCAGGATTATTTATTTTATTCTTTTTATTTATTTTATTCCTTATATATGCTGTTGGAAACACTGCAGGTGCATGAAGAAGTTCTGTTGTTATGTTCTATAGTTAATTTGTTCGCAAAATAAATCAGCATTTTAAAATGCAATATTTAATGTGTCAGACACAAACAAGACACGCTATATTTTTCAAAAATGAAATAGTTTAATATTAATTTGACCAGTTAACCGTTAATGAGCGGTGGTTGACGGTTGGCAAAATTAACCAAAATGAGCATCCCTAGTCCAGAGATTTAGGATTCTCACGGGTTTCGGCGAATCATGTGATTCTCTCAGATCACGTCTTCGATAGTTCATACTATGAAAACGAGCACCGTTTTGCCTGTGATTTCAGATATTTGTCGACAATTTCTCAAAATCTGTTGGCAACTCAAAATCTGGATTCAAATCATGCAGTCTGAACTCGGTATAAGTTTTAACACTCTTTAGAAACGCTCATATATCTATTTGAAATGGAGGCCTTATTAACTTTCCCACTTTCCTGCTGAAATTGAATATGAAACAGACTTATTTTAATCTCTCACTCACGGTAAATTAAAGGGTAAAGAAGAATGGGGAAGGAATTCTCTCAAGAACAGAAATATTTTTTTCAGATTTTGATTAAAGATTATGATGGCAAAGAAAGAAAACAAAAAAGTTAATTATTTTGTTCACATTAAAAACAAACGTTGTACATTTTGAGTTTTGATGTCAGACTTTAACATACTTTTAAAAGTTGTACTTACTACTTTCACACAATATTTTTTCAATATTTAGGAAATATGTAAACTAGTTTACATGAATTTGAATGCAATTAGCAACATTTTTTTTACCTATAGAATCTTTACCATTTTATTATTCTGTTATTTTTAAAATAGCGTTAAGGTGTACTGATATCTGCAAGAATTTCTGGTAAACTACTTCAAATGTCATTCATGTTGAAACTTGAATGTCATGTAGTTAAATGTATTTGTTTCTATGAGTCAAAGTGCACAGGTTTGATCTGTGCTGCTGGAAAACTAAATCATATTTAAAGGTTATCAGGCTCCTATCATGAGTGCTTTTGAAGAAAAACTCATATCAGGGTCTGCCAAATTATCAGTATCAAACCTCAGAAAGGGCAGAGTAAGTTCAAGAGCAGGTGTGTAATTATATATATTGCTATACAGTAATGCTAATACAGGGTTTCTGTGGGTTTCATCAAATCAAATGTAAGAATTTCTACAGAGAATTATGAATGAAATGTCAGCCTTAAACATAATTAAAAACTATAAGAATATGTAACTATACATAATTAAAAATTAAATGTCAGACTTAGACAAAGTTATAACTATGTATTGACAACAGTCTGTATAGGCCAGTGTCCTCACCAGGTAGCTATAAACACTTTTAAGAAATGTTATTGCAAGAAAGATGATTCAATCAAAGAATTTTCAGTTTTGTAGTCCAAATTGCATGTAAAAACATAAATGTTTGGAAATAAATCTCATACCAAGTCTTCAAGCTTTTAGTGCTGTAATGAACAACAAATGCCAACACAATAATCTGAATATTCTTAAAAGCCCCTCTAAAAAGTTGAAAGAATAAATAATAATTCACTGTATTGAAATGCTGTATTCACTGTGTTGAATTCACTATTGAAGTGCCCACGATATTGATATTGTGCACAGGGCCAGATTAACATAAGGGCTTGGTGAGGCAGAAGCTCCAGGGCCACAGAGGGAGGGGGTCCTTGATTGACTGAATAATTACTTTGCATCATGAAACTGGAAATGCCTCTTTGCATTATGCTTTCGCATATCGATAAAGTGATGCATTACTTTTGGTTTGCTGCTGATTAAAAACAGTGATGCCGCTAAACTGGGGCTCAGAGTAGCTGTAACTCAATTAGAATATTAAATAGCCATATTTAAATCCCCCTTAAAGGTGATCAGATGTCCCATTTTTACTAGAACAGTCCCTTATTTTGGCACTATTGCTAATCAAGCTTGTCGTAAAACAAAAAATGCAATTTAAACAGTATTTGGTCATTGATTAACTTGTGCATGTAATAAAAGAAGCTGGGATAGGCGGAATCATACTGAATGGACTGAATAGATAACTGAAGTGCAGTCTCGGCCGCATGGCGGTTAACAGCTGAATTTAAGTAACTGGCACACGCCAGCGCAATCTTACTATCACATAATAAAACCAAGAAATGTGGGAAAATAAAGCAAATAGCCTAAACAAATGGTTATTGTAATTAAGTTTACGGCCCTTTGGCCGCCGGGAAGAAGGAGGCGGAGAACCGACTCGGTTTTAAATTATTTATTTATAACATGAACGGCTATATTTTCGCGAATCCGTGAGAGGCTGCTGTGTGCACTTTTTCGCATCTCGAATGTCTCTTGTGAGTGCGGTTCACACCCACACCGTTCTCGCGTAAACCCATCAGAGGCCGCTGTCGACTAACTGAATGACTGAATGATTGACTGGGTGATCGACTGACCCACCCTTCTTCTTCCCTAAACCCAACCAATTTTACCGATTGACCTGCCCGCCCGATTACCTAAACCCAACCAACGGTTTACCATCTAGAAAAAGGAAAGCCCTGATTTTTACCATGCTTTCGAGCTTTACCACATTCTCACCCCGTTGTTCACTTGTTCATTTTATTTTTTGGATTCCGTTTTGTCATACCTGATTTCTGAAACTGCTCTTCCCCGTACTCGAACCCTGTCGTTGTGTTCAACTCCTCTCTGCTTCTCAAGTTCGCAGACGTACCCGACTAGCTAACTGGACAAACTGGTTGCAGCGGGAATGCCCTCTACACGAAAGTAAGTGGTCAGCCGGTAAGCGCAAAACGGAACGGCGTCATACCGGCCAGTAGCGTTCGCTTAAAAAAATTAAAGGCAGCCATACGCACTTCCGGCTACATAATTCTTGGTCTCCAAAAATGACCGCTGAATTACGCTTTCAGAATTAGCCTGTATTGACAATTTTTGGATATTAAAACCATGGATTTTATAGATATTCTATCATTAAAGATTTTTATCTCAGCTAAAGTTCTACAGAAACTTTTTTAAAGGTAAAACCCTATTTAAAAATATTCATTATAAAAGCACATTTTTAGAAAGTATTGCAAATGTTTTTTTTTGTGCTGATTTTAGCAACCTGTTTAAATTTTCATGTTATTTTTTTAATTAATTTTGTATTTGAAATAGAAAAATAATATATAATAATCACGTATAAATCAAATGGTGGAAAATTAGACAATATTAGTTAGTAAATTCATAATAATAAAATTAATGACAATAACAACAACAACAACAACAATAATAAAAGCAAAAATATATACTTTTGTGAGGCGATAAAATAAAAATAAAATAAATTGTGTTCTTAATATGGCCCAGATTGTGCATATTCAATAGCATGATGTATTGAATTATTACATTTTTTCCATATGTCTACTCAATGCCAAACCTAAAATACCTTGTAGTAGCCAGTCTTAGCGTAGATCTGGAAGTTTCCATCCATAGTGAGCAGTGACCCATAGTTAGAGCCTCTCTGTGTGCAAAAGATTTTAACAGGACATTAGTTTGCTGACTCATTTGAACTAGGGCTGAGCAAATATTCAAAATTTTGATTTTAGCTACCAACAATTATAAAAAAAACATAAATCGAGATGATAAAAAAAATATTGTATCAGCTCATTGCATTGATTCCTCATTGACAAAAAGGTGTAACTACTGTGTCTTTCATTCAAGGTACATTATTTGGACTAAGTGAAAAATAATGGTTTTGGATTATTTACATGTTTTATTCAATTAGATGTATTTATTTAGTTTAGTACAAACCTGGATTTAATTATGAGTCAAACCAACGTAATTTATTAATTAATCATAGTCTATAAAAACAATATTTTACTATTGGGTCTATGTATTGTTTCACTGGGCAGGATAAATATTTTCATTAATATAAAAAAATCGATATATATTAATATACCAACTAAGTCAAAACAAAAATTTAAGGGGTAATTTATAATTGCAGCCATTTTTTGTCTAAAGTAAGATTATACTTTGATCTAAGGTTGAAAAAGATAGGTTTCTACTTTAGGATAAAAAAAAAAAAAAAAAAAAAAAAAAAAATATATATATATATATATATATATATATATATATATATATATATATATATATATATATATAAATAAATAAATCAAATAATATTCTATTTATATTTAATATCTCCAGATAAACAATATTTTTACTTTGTGTAAATGTAATTTTTATCTTGACCACAATAAATATTTTTGATTTAGACTATATTTTATAGTTTAATCAAAAGGTAAACAAAAGGTAAATTATTCAATTCAATTCAGGTTTATTTGTATAGCGCTTTTCACAATAATTATTGTTTCATATCATCTTTACAAAAGGAGCACATTACTGCATTACAATCAAATTCGGAAAAGTTAAGGTTATTAATTACCATAGCTTTAAAAGTTACAACTTATTAACTAGTAACTGATAGCTTTTAACAGTTAAAGTTATTATATGTAAACAAAGTTAACCTACTTAGGTGATTTCTATGTGTACATTTTTAATGAAGTGTATTTGTGTAATAGGTTACATTATTCTTTATTATATACTATATTATTATATTATTCCTGTATTTATTATTATATTTAATAAATTAAGTTAAAAAATTATTTAAGAAAAACAATAACATAAAAAACTGTCTGTAACAAATCACTTTTTTAAAAGTTAGTTCAATGTGTTGTTTTTTCTTTTCTTTTTATTTACAATGCTCTGTGTGTGTGTGTGTGTGTGTGTGTGTGTGTGTGTGTGTGTGTGTGTTTGTGTGTGTGTGTGTGTGTGTGTGTGTGTGTGTGTGTGTGTGTCTGTGTGTCTGTGTGTGTGTGTGTACAGTATGTTTGCCCTCACCAGGGATATGGTGAGTTTGCTGCAGGCTCTGCGCAGGACCTTCTCCGTGTTGCTCATCTGGATGTCCTCCCAGTGCACACGCCACAGCTGAGCGGTCAACTCATTCTCCAACTTCAGCTTCCTGATGGCGGACAGAGAAACACGCCGAGAGACAAAGAAATAAGAGCATAAATAAAGTAGAGTACAAAGAAAAAAAAGAGTGTAAAAAGCAGAGGACAGGGACAATGAGAGATGTGACGCAATAGGGGAAAACCCATCAGATAAAAAAGACAAAAGCAAGCCAGAGCAACAACAAGTCCAAACAGAAGAAAGCATGTCATAAACATTAAATAATATATCTTAAACAAACCAATATATGCTGATATGTTACTGTCAGCACTTAAATATATTATATGTTAAGCAATCAACATCTGTAAAACAGCTTTGAAACAACAGATGCCCTTCAGTTTTTTTTATTATTGATGTTTTGGTAATAACATTTACAGGATTATAATAATCTCATGATTAATGCACGCAGACATTCAAAGAATAAATACAGAGCACAGCAAAGTCGATATAACAGTCTGTACTGTACATACACTACCAGTCTTGTCAAATATCCAAGATTTAGGAACAACAAATAATAACTTGAGTTCTAGTCGAACATTTGGTATCAGAAGTGGCTTATATGAAAAGCAAAGGCCTCTTGATTTTGCTTGTTTTACAAAAATAAAATATGATCATGCCTTGATTTTTAATTATGTCATTAGGACAGTAAGATCTGACTTTGCTTAGACAAAAGTCTTGTCACTTAAAATAAATAATGTACAGTATAGAATATAAAGTCATGGTGCAGTGGAAAAAGAATGAATATTGTGCATGACTCCCATGAGCTTGGAGGACTGCATCCATACATCTGTGCAATGACTCTAATAACTTAATATAGTCATCTGGAATAGCAAAGAAAGCCATTAAGAGTTCATCAAGATTCTTTGGAATCATCTTCAATGCCTCCTCCTTCATCTTAACCCAGACATGCTCGATAAGGTTCATCTATGGTGACTGGGCTGGCCAATCCTGGTTCACCTTGACCTTCTTTGCTTCCAGGAGCTTTGATTTGGAGGCTGAAGTATGAGAAGGAGTGTTATCCTGCTGAAGAATTTGCCCTTTCCTGTAGTTTGTTATGTAATGGGCAGCACAAATGTCTTGATACCTCAGGCTGTTGATGTTGCCATTCACTCTGCAGATCTCTCGCACGCCCTGATAATGAATGTAACCCCAAAGCATGATTTGTCATTTACCAAACTTGACTGATTTCTTAAGTCCATGCAGGTTCCAATAGATCTTCTGCAGTATTTGGGATGATTGGGATGCAGTTCAACAGATGATTCATTAGGAAATTACCTTCTTCCACTGATCGATTAGAATTCAAGTTATTGTTTGCTGCTCTTACAACTGGGATCGGCAACAAGATGACAAGACTTTTTAGGTAGTGTAGAAGGACTTTTCTACAACAGCTGTGCTGTTTCTAAAAGACTTAATACAGTAACATTGGTAGAACGATTAATTTACTATTTTTCACACAAGGCCACATTAAACATATCTAGGATACTAGAAATAATGTCATTTTGCTGTGACAGAAGCCTCTTTTGTCAGTGATGTTAATGTGGTGTTCACTTACAGTTTAACTGTACTGTACATGGTCATTTTAAAATGATTTCCTTTTACATTTTAACACAATAAGTCATTTTACAATAACTGTAGAATTGTTTTTACATATTAATATTAATTAATGATCAAATCTGTGGCATAACCTTAAACTTTATGTAAAAAAAAAAAATTATGTTTTTTTTAAATGCACAGTTTACCCCAAAAAGAATATCTCCTAACTATTTACTCAAGTGGTTCTTTCTTCAGTTGAGCACAAAATAAGGACATTTTATAGGAAATGCCATTGATATACACATTAGGAAATACAAATTCTATGTAAGTCAATGCTTTTTTATCATTCTTCAGTATATTCTAAAGTACATTCTTCAGTATGTTTTGTTGAAACAAGTGGAGGTTGAGAACATAAAAACAGAATTTTTATTTTTGGGGTATCCTAGGAATATGAATAATAATTAACAACATATATCAACACAGGAAAGAGCCTATCCAGCATTTTCATAATCTATTTAATGAAACACATTTGGTGTTTTCTATGCAAGGTGTGCACATTGCAACTGGACTTTTTGTCAGTCTGGAAAAGCTTCTGCCAGATCATTTGAAGAATAACCCACTGGATAATTTGGCATTCATCATAACATGACTGCAAAAAAGGAAGGATAAAATTACAGAAGGAGAAGACCATCAAGAGCTAAAGCAGTCTCCAGCCTTAAAGTGAGTGAGAGCTGTTAGAAAAGATGAGATAATTATGTGATTGATATCCCATCTGTGCCTTTGCATTGTAATAATTCACTGTTATCATGTTTACAGGACTTTCACTTCACTTTATATCAGGTTCATGTCCATGAAACTCAAATCTGAAATTTAATTTCAATTTCTTTGGAAAGCACAGCCATTTTACCAACTGAGAATATGAATTGGACTAATGTATAACACCAATGAGTTAGCTTAGAAAACTCTGACACTATATCCCAAATGGACTTAGGAATATGTTTGACACCATATATTATTCTTTTCATACATTTAAATGTGAAATGGAATTTTAAAGTAGCTATATTGTATTTTTACAGTTGCATGCAAGCATTATGAAATATTAGTGCAATTAAAGTGCCCCTATTATGATATTTCAGAGGGTTCGAATTTTATCTTGTAGCTCATTATGGACACTTTCATTTCCTTTAAAGACAGACCTCTCTCTTATGCTGTGATTGTTTTAGAGCCACCAAGATCATTTCTCATTTCAGACTGAGGACCAGGTAACACTGTCACATGAGCTAGATATGCAAACAGCATCTTTCAGCTGGATTAGACAAATTAGTGTCAAATCAGTAGTTTGATGCATGTCAACTGTAATCAAATTATAGAATTTATGTATCATTATTATTATATTATTAGATTAAAGTAAGACATGCAATAGACATGTACCATTATTAATGGTTAAATAAACCATGTGCTGTGCAATTTTGGTCCACTGATAAAAATATTTTTTGCATGAACACATTTCAATGCGTGTATAATGTGCGTTCAATAAGCATTTTATAATGGTCATGTGTGGCATTACAGCTTATTTCATTAACATTCATTAGCAGAAACAAATGTGAACTTAAGCTGTGTTTCAAGGTCAAAAGTAGACATTGTTTATGATTAACCAATAAAACCCTTATACTGTTGGTGCATTCAAGTCATACTGAAGAAACTGTATTAACAATTTGAAGTCATTTGACTTGAACACCTCATATTTATTACTAGTGGGAAATTCTATATTTTCTTTAAGCCTGGAGTTATCGAGTTAATGGCGTGTCAACGGCCATCCTAATGTGAAGTTAATAAAAAAGAATCAAAGCATTTCCATCAGGCTGGCTGTAGTATAACACTAAATAAGGCAAGCATAAGGAAGACAGCTGATTAGCCACATAATAATAATAATAATAATAATAATAATAATAATAAATTCCTTACATTTATACTGTATAGTGCTTTTATGGACCCTCAAAGTGCTTTACACATTGGGGGGAATCTCCTCATCCACCACCAGTGTGCAGCATCCACCAGCCATATTGTGTCAGACAGCCAACCACACACCAGCTGATTGGTGGAGAGGAGATTGGAGATAAAGCCAATTATGATATGGGGATGGTTAGGAAGACAGAGGATAAATGGGAAAACCACTACTCATTTTTAAAAGTTTAACATTTCATCCGAAAAATTGACATCTCATACTACTCACTGAGCAGTATAGAGTTCAGATCAATATACTGCGGCATTAGAACCCAAATGTTAGGTTGAGCACCCCCTGCTGGTCTCACTTATACCACTTCTGCAGCAACCTTGTTTTCCCATGTGGTCTCCCATCCAGGTTTTGACCGGGCAGATCCCTGCTTAGCTTCAGTGGGCGACTTGAGTGAGCTAGCTCTAACATGGGGGTAAAAATGGGATCACCATGTCAGAGTTTATTTGGCAAATTTGTTTCTGTCTCCCATTATTTAAATTTTTTGCACAAATAAAAAAAAAAACAGCTTGTGAACATAAAAGCTTTTCTTTTGCAAATTAAAGAATTTTGAATTGAAATTTTCATTTTCATGACTTGAAAGATTTATTTTTGGCCTTTTTGCCTTTACTAGATAGGACAGTATTGAGACAGGAATATAATGAGTAGGGAAATGTTCTCAAGCAGGGATTCGAACTTGGGACGCCCTGTCGTGCTACTGCACCATATGTCAGCGCGCTCACCAGGCTATTGCCCTGACAGTTTACTAATTTTTTAAGTCAACTAATCACTCTTTACTATGTGGCAGAATTGATGGAAGATTTATTTACAAAAATCAAGCTTGTTGTAATTACATGATTTACATATTTTTATATGTTTATCTTAAAGTGTCTTCTTAAATTCTTTTAAAAATGAAAAGATTATGATGAAAGATTACACCTAATGACATTTTCTAGCAAATTCTTTGCTTTTTATTTTCTACAAGCAATTTTACAAACCCTGCTGTAATTCTTGGCTTATTAAAAAGTCTTGTGCTGACATAAGTGACTTGAATGCACATAAATAAGGGCTTGTAAGTATAAACTTTAAGCAAATGTATTACAAACCTATGCAGATTTGTACAATAACTAAAACTAGATTCTATGATGAATCCTTTTAGGCAGTTTAGAACTGGTTCTCTCAGTCATATTTTAAACTAATAGTAATAAGTAATGTAAGTTTATGTATTTACTAACATGAACTAAGTATGAACAATCTTTTACGGCATTTATTAAAATTCAACATTTACTAATGCGTAAAAAACAACGTTTGTTATTAGTTAATGCAATCTGCTTTAAAGAAAGAAGAACTAACAATGAGCACCTTTAATTTCATTACCTAACTTTTGTAGACACATAAATACTGTAATAAATGTTTTGTTTGTGGATGTTCATGTTGGTAATTACATTAAATTTAAATAACAAACAATTATTTTGAAGTTTTACAATTCTTTAATCTAGAATAGGGGTTCCCAAACTTTTGAGCCTGTGACCCTCAAAATAACAATTTCATTGACTCGCAGGCCCCCACTATCCTCAGAGGTGGTTAAAAACGTACAAATGTTGCACACAATGCACACACACCAATAGGCCCACATAAACACAAGCATATTAACAAAACAAACAAGTGCAACAGTCTAACAATCATTTCATTGTTTTTTATCATTTATTAATTTGTTTAATTGAATATTAACCTCATCTAATGGGACTGGTGGGCACAAAGTTTATTGCACAAGTCTATTTTTGGTTTAATTTTGGAGATCGCCACTTGGAGATCATCCTCTGTGTTCAGTCACACATGACTTTTCTTTTATTCTTAAAAAAAATGTTTACTTTTATTGTATGTGAGTGCTGTAAAGGTGTCAAATTTTACCATGGTGCTGTAAAATCATTCTGCTGAAACTAATGCTACTAATATTAAATATCACAATTAATAATATTACCACCCCAGGGGTCACAATCAAAATCAAAAGGCTGATAGCTTTTTATTTGCATGTTGTTTTTTTGAATATTAATACTATTTTAATCTTCTGTAGGTCATGGATGAAATAGAAGACAATAGCTCCACTTTTTTGTCTTCTTTGATGTTTGAAATTTTGCAGACCTTTTAGGTTTACAAACAGACTAAAAGTGCTTTCACACCTAGACTTTAGTTTCGAAGAGTTTAGTCTCGTTTACCCAGTTAGCGCAGTTCGTTTGGCATATGTGAATCCAGCAATCGCGCTCGGATCCACGCTAAAACACTCGGTCCGAGGTTGCCTGAATGAGGTGGTCTTGGCTCGATTGAAACGAACTCTAGAGCGGATTGATTGTAAGTAAGCAATGCAATCCGAGCCCGGCTATATGACAGTGTTTTATGGATATGTAGACCGGGAGGTCATTCCAGAAATCCCAAGTCACCCGGAAGTTCCGGGAGTCTCCCGCAAATGCACAGAGACTCCCGGATGCCCGCAAACGAGTAACAATCTCCCGGTAATCGCACGTTTCCCTCTCTGCCTTCAACTACGTCGCGTCCAACCCCTCCCCCTGAGCGGGACTCTGTACAATAAACTGTGAAACTCTGACCAATGTGAGAGAGTTTACTCACACGTGAATTGTTTTAGCTATTTTGGTCTGTTTAGAAACTTTGCCGTGTGAAAGCGAACCGCTTGTGACAATTTGACAATGTAACAATGTGACAATTTTAATCCCTGTTTCGGAACAAATGAATCAATTCACAGATGTGAAAGCACCCTAATATTCAAAAAAGCATAACAGAGGCACTTTAAATGAAGAAAAGTTCTGGTTATAGTATGTGCTTGAATAGACATGTCAATCTAATCTAATCTACAGGATAATTAGAGAACAACTTGTAATAAAGCACAACCATCACTGGTTGAAATCCTCTGCATGAACTTTACAGAAATCATATGCAGTTCATTGTGATTGGACACATGGTCACATATAAGTGACGACGCCACGTGGTCTGAGTTGCTATTTCTGTCTCTGTCGTGGTCTGGCAGTAAGTTCCCTAATTAAACATCAGATAGAGGAGAAAGACAGAAAGAAAGACAGACAGAGAGATATAATATCAGACCCAGACCTCAGCATACGAACACCTGATATCTAGTGTTACACCATATCTAGAGTGCAAGTCAATAACATAACAAAACAGGACTCGAAAAACCTTTATTAAAGCACTCTTGTTTTGTCATGTCACAATGCTCTCTTTGTAATATAGACAATGTTTATCAGAAAGGTTTTTTCATGTACTGACCTGTATATGAAGACTGTGACTGTAACGATGATGATAAAGATGAAGCACACCACTATGGAGATCATCTGGTGCATGGTGACTGTCTCTGAGGAACAAAAGTCAGAACATAAGCTACAAGTATTTGTATTTCATTACCTTTCACAAAGACACCAGAAAGGTGATCTGACCTGCCAAAATGTTTTCATACATAGGATTCTAGTCCACATATACTGGACAGTAAGGGCAAATGAATTATTCTAAAGCCTGATTTATACTTTAGCGTTGAGTGTTCATAGTTGATGCCATAGCTGATGCCATTGTGAGCATTTATACTTCTGCTTTGTGTCTGTGTTAATCTGGTATTAATGCTTTCAAAACTCTAGCAGGCAGTGGGGTTTCTGTGTTCCACTATGTTGAGTTTGTTTGCAGATGATTTGGGTTTATGCTGGAAATGCATGCGATGCTGCGGTAGAAGTAGAAGCTGACACAAAATCACATTCATTCAAGGAAGAAATATCAGTAAAACCACATGTCTGCACTGCTCCAAAAATCCATACTCACAAAGACCTGTAAATGTGCTGCATGGGCCCGAAACAGACATGAGAAATTCCTTAAATGTACCTGACTCGGTACGGATGGCAGTCTCTCCATAATATCAGAAGCTGAAAACTGTTATGGAGTAGACCCTTTTCACAATTTGACAATCACTTACTTAGTATGATATAATCTAGTGGCTAAATCAAACTTTCTTTATGTATGAGCAATCATGAGGCGGCCTAATATTACTTAAAGTAAATTAGTTTACAGTTATATCCTCTATCTAATAACCAGAACTGGTGAGGATGTGTCCGTGAGCAAATGTAATTGGCCAGCATACTGCCTCTAAGTGACTTTGGATAAACGATGAACCATCAACTGAAAATAAGGATTTTTTAGGTTAATCGATCTAAATTAGACCTAATCATAACCTATGAGATGATCAGTTTTAATTGTATGAATCTAAATTTAAATTATTATTATTTAAATTATTATTATGGATTATATGTCAGATTAAATTCGGAGCTTTTCACATGCTAAAAAGGCTTATGCACATTTAACCTTCACTCATGCTGTTAGTTCCACCATAGGAGTAATAGATGGGCCCTTACACTCGACACTGAAATAAACCAAACCACACCCAATAGGCACATATTGACAGCAAACTACTATTAAAAGGTATGATTAAGTTCAGAATGTTTTTTTTTTTTGGACAAACGTTCGAGGTTACTAAAGTAACCCTTCGTTCCCCGAGGAGGGGAACGGAAGCACTATAAGTGGATTTGATTGTAAAATCCACGCATTGGGAGGTTCGGTTCAGAAGCTACTCGTCTGAAAGAGTATTGAACGGGCCAATTAAGAATGAATTGGCAGCGCAAGCCTGCGCAGGTGAGCGGCATAAGCAATCAACTGAGTATATAAGCTCACCTGGCGCAGCAGACGCTATCCTTTTTAAGCTGAAGAGACTTTCAACAGCTAAGGGACAGTCATTATGGCGACGGAGTATAGTGCTTCCGTTCCCCTCCTCGGGGAACGAAGGGTTACTTTAGTAACCTCGAACGTTCCCCTTCGGGGGGAACTTCAGCACTATAAGTGGATTTGATTGTAAAATCCACGCATTGGGAGCCCATTGAAAGCGCCACAATGACTGCACCTTACCAACACCCCCGATGAGGAGATAGTCAAGCAAGCGTGACGCACCCACATCATGGGGGGCGCGGTCCTCCAACGTGTCCCTGGCCCTAATTTATCCTACTTCAACAGAAGTTTTACGGATTTATATATATTTTTTGGGAAGTCGTGAGCATCTAGATAATTCTAGGAAAATACGACAGTACGTTGGGAAGCGTGCAATCCCGATAGGGAGGACGCTGCGGAGGCCATCCGTTACCCAAGGGGGGATAGATGGCAGAATTTACATATGGACTAGCCCTAAAAGGGGGAGTACGCATAGCAAAAGAGTGGTTAGCGGGGAGGGAAGACACGGGTCCGCCCAGGGGGGGGGGGACTTAACCGTGGCTGAATAAGCATATGGGATCGCCTAGTGGGGACCACGCATAGCAGGCACCTTTACCCAAAACGCGGGCTGACCAGCGGGCAGACCTACAACGTAGTGGGCCAGCAAGTGACTCCTCCGCTGAGTCAGTGCTGGGGGCCACGGAGGAATCTGCAGGGCTCACCTGACGGGGAACTTTACTGACAGATAAAAAGGCGCACGTATCTCCGTGTTAGGGAAAATGGCGCAGCAAGCGTGTTTCAACACCCTACCGAATTGTTTCCTCAATCACCAAGGGTTACCTAATACCCTTGAGGAAACCGGCTCCACTCGCAGATTGTAAAACCTTGCAAATGTGTTGGGTGTCACCCAGCCCGCAGCTCTACAGATGTCTGTTAGAGGGGCGCCGCGTGCGCGCGCTCGAGAGGATGCGAAGCTCCGAGTGGAGTGCGCACGCGCTCTCGGGGGACGCGGCTCATCTCGGCTCTGATAGTGAAAGAAAGGCATCCACAATCTAGTGGGAACTTATTTCGGTACGGCACTTCCCTGCTGCCGACCGCTATAACAGACGAAGAGCTGCTCAGATGATCTAAACTCTGAGTGCGGTCCGGATAATACGCAAAACGCGAACTGGACAATAAATAAGGGCTGGGTCTGCCTCCTCCGAGGGCAGCGCTTGCAGGCTCACTACCTCGTATTAAAACGGAGTGGTAGGAACCTTGGGCACATATCGCGGGCGGGGTCTCATACGTGAGAGAAGCCAGCCCAATTACAGGCACGAGTCACTGACCGAAAAATGCCTCCGGGTCCCCGACCCTCTAATCGATATCAACGCGACCAGCAGAGCTGTCTTCAGGGACAGAAAATACTGAGTCGAGGATCGAAGGGATCTGACGCGGCTTGTGTAGCGAGGGCGAGATCCTAAGAGGGCATGAGAGGGGGCGGGGTGGATTAATTCGCTTAACGCCCCTGAGGAACCGGATGATGAGGTTATGCGTTCCCACGGTGCTGCCAGCCACCGCGTTATGAGAGCGGAGATGGCAGCCACGTAACCTTGAGTGTGGAGGGCGACAGCCTGCTCTCCAACTTCTCTCGGCGTAAAGAAAGCACAACGCTGATCTGGCAAATTACGGGGGTCTTCTCAGCGAGAGACACACCATTCAGTGAATAGACTCCACGTCAGGGCATAGGCGCGCTCGGGGAGGGGGCTCTAGCCCGAGTGACGGTATTAGCCACCGCAATCGGAGGTTACCTAAGTCTTCCTCGCGTCTATAAATCTCTTCAAAGATCGGCGAGGGTGCCAGGTGGTGCCCTGTCCCTGAGAGAGTAGGTGCTCTCTCGAAGGGACTGCCAGGGGAGGGCTATCGCGAGGGAGAGCTCTGACATCCAGGTCCGGTTGAGCCAGAGGGGCGCAACCAGCAACCTGTTTCTCGTCCTCCCTGACCTTGCCCAGTAACTGCGCGAGCAGGCTCACTGGGGGAAACGCGTATTTGCGCGTGCCCCGAGGCCAGCTGTAAGCCAGTGCATCCATGCCGAGAGCACTCGGTCAGGGAAAGAACAACTGGCAATGAGCGATCTCGGGGGAAGCAACAGATCGATCTGGGCTTCACCGAATCGCGCCCATATCAGCTGAACAGACTCGGGGTGGAGTCTCCATTCTCCAGGACGCAAGGCTGCCGTGAGAGCGCATCGGCTGCACGGTTGAGCTTGCTTGAATATGAATGGCGTGCAGCGATTTCAGCCGCAGATGACTCCAGAGGAGCAGACGGCGAGCGAGCTGAGACATGCGGCGAGAGCGCATACCCCCTATACGGCTGATATACGCCACCGCCGCCGTACTGTCCGTCCTGACCAGCACGTGTTGCCGCTCCAGCACCGGAAAAAAACGGTGGAGAGCGAGGAACACTGCCAACAGCTCCAGGCGATATGCCAATGCAACTGGGTACCTTTCCACAGGTCCGCAGCCGCATGCCCGCAACGCACAGCCCCCCAGCCCGTGTTGGAAGTGTCTGCTGAAACGACAACAAGACTGGACGCCTGTTCTAGAGACACCCAGGCCTGTAGGAACGAGGGGTCGCTCCAAGGGCTGAGGGCGCGGCGACACAGCGCAGTAACAGAGACTCGGTGTGCGCGCGCATGCCATGCGCGTCTGGGGACTCGATCGTGAAGCCAGTGCTGAAGTGGTCTCATATAGAATAATCCGAGCGGCATGAAGCGGCTGCGGATGCCATATGCCCCAGGAGCCTCTGAAATAGTTTCAGTGGGACCACTATTTTACTGTCGAGCTCTCTCAGACAGTACAGCATCAGCTGAGCGCGCTCTCCGGAGAGGCGCGCTGCCATGGTGACCGAGTCCAGCTCCAGCCTGAGAGAAGAGATCCTCTGCACGGGGGCGAGTTTGCTCTTTTCTCGGTTGACCTGAAACCCCCACAGGTGGAAGTGCCAGAGCACTTTGTCTCTGTGCATAATCAACTGCTCCGAGAGAGGGCAAAAATCAGCCAGTCGTAAAGAAATTGAGTATGCAGATGCCCGCGAGCCGAAGGGGCGCTGAGGCACCCTCCGCGGGCTTGGTGAGGACCCGCGGAGACAGAGAGAGCCCGAAGGGGAGGGCTTTGTATTGCCAAGCTCGACCTTCAAACGCAAACCGCAGAAACTGTCGGTGGCGAGGAAGAGTGGAGACATGGAAATACGCGTCCATCAGGTCTAATGCTGCAGACCAACCCAGAGGACGAACGCACCGGAGGATGCGCTTCTGCGTGAGCATTCTGAACGGCAGCTTGTGCAGGCACGGTTCAAAACGCGCAGATCTAGGATTGGCCGTGACCCACCGCTCTTTTTGGGCACGATGAAGCGTGGGCTGTAAAACCCGCTCTCCATCTCGGCTTGAGGGAGCGGTTCGATTACATCCTTCGCCAGGAGGACAGCAATCTCCTCTCGCAAGACAGGGGCGGACAGGGGGCTGACCCTGGTGAATACACACCCGTGACTTGGGGGGCCGTTTCGCGAACTGAATCGCATAGCCGAGTCTGATTGTGCGTATGAGCCACCGCGAAGAGCTGGCCCGCGCTAACCAGG